TGTTCTTTATAATACAAATATTAACCACAGCAAAACCCTTTCTTTTTCACTGATTCCATTATTGATATCATCGTTATTTTGGTGAAATAAAATGTTCTCAAGTGGTAGTCTTTTGGACGAACGCAAGTGCAAAACGAGTAAAGTAGAATAGGCAACGCTTGCATGCATCTTACCCACTCTAGTAATCGGTAGTTGCTGAGAAGACGAAAAAATGTTATCAGTGAACAAACAGAGGAAAGGCATTATTACATGGGCAATAGATTTGAAATTATGGGTGATTAGATGAGAAGATTTGTATAATGTGGAGTAGTGTTAAAAAGTTAAAAATCGAAGGTTATTAAAAAATATAATATGAATTTGTGCCAAAGCCGGAGTACTTGCAAATAGAAGTATTATTCTCACTCTTCCCCACTCTCCCTCTCTCCTTTTTTCTCCCTCTAAACGATAGTCATCAATCTGTTAAGTGCGTTCTTTTGTTGTGTTTTACTTCTTTACACTTTACACCTTACGGTGTTTCGCTTGTGTATGATAAATAACGCATCGAAGATACGATATGAACACAATGATTTGTTCCATTGGGGACAAAGTGTGAATTTATTGTTAACATGCCATTATCTCATCAGAAAAAACGCTTCCAAGTGGTAGTATTCATAAGAAACGTCGTTTGTTGGGACTTTCTTGCCTAGGAAATGGTAAGTTACATGTCAGCATTCTATTAAGTCAACAATCGATCTACCTCATCATTGATAATCACCCACAAACAGCCCTATTACGGAGTACTGATAAGTAGAAACGTGTGACAATGGAGTTGATAAGCAGACATCAATGAGCTCACAAACCCATAATAAAGTATAAATTGAGCAAGTAGCAAATGCACATTCTTTACATTTTATTTACAAAACAGGCATTACAAGTGAATAAGTGTATGAAAAGTGCTGTATGTGTGAAAACATTTAGAAGACACCAACTGATGATCGATGCTGTTTTGTACTAACATCAGTGGACGCATTCGAAACCGGTTCCAGGGGATTAACAGTTGTCGTCGAAGATGAATAAACCCCAACTTCAGGAAGACGAGATCTTCAAGATGTAGAAGGTGATCGATTCCTACGTGGTGTTGGTGATGAACGATGACGCCTGCTGCGATGACTGCTTCGATAGGACTTCTTTCCACCACTACCACCACCTCCTCCTCCACGTCCTTTTGAATACCTAGTTGCTGCCCTTCGTCTTGAACGTGATGAGGATTCTGGGGCTTTCAAAGACTGCCTGGGAGGAATGGCGGAGACCGGACTACGATCACGAGAACACTCGCGACGCCTTTCTCTTGATCCATATCGTCGAGAAGAACAACCACTGCAACCACCGTATTCTCGATGAGAATTTGCTTTGTATCTGTTTATAAATGAAAAAGTGGGTTTGAAACTCTAACCCTATGGACATGGAAATGGCAATGAAAATTGCAGTTAAATCCTACCACAAAGTACAATCAAAGAAATATTTTGGCAAGACTAATCTAGAAGTCCGACAAAGCCATTTTTATCATCAACAGGCCCGTAGACGAAGAACAAGATATAGCTCCTACGAGAATTTATCTCGGAGGTGTGAAAGAACTTAACAACCTCTTCTACATTGATTTACTCAAACTATTTATTTATTTCAAATGTCAGGATTTATGATGTATATCATAAGCCCCTAAACTTTGACTTCGGCTTCCCCCAGGAGGGGGGGGGGGTATAGCTTTGACTTCAGCTTCCCCCAAGGGTGGGGGGTACATATGTT